AACAGCAGTCATTATTACCCAGTTACAATGACGCTTCGAATTACGTGGTTTTGTCTGCACTATGCTACAAGCATGTGCTGTTGTTTTCGTTGCTGCTGGTGTTTCATTAGTCGCTGATTTTGTCAAAATTTCTAGTGTTTTAGCTACAATATTGTGGTAATTAGCATGAGGGAGTGGCGTCGTGCGTTATAGCACTGGGTGACGCCAACCCTAGTGATACCACTGAACCAACCATATCTGTCACCTCAACTTTGCTGACGCTTTCATGTCAAGGAAATAAGGTGAGCTGGAGCAGTCTGTCTTAGCAGACGGGCAGATTTCTGGCAAACAGACAGGTGTACATTTTAGAACACTTTGTCCTTTAGTGGGTATTGAAAAGCAGTCATCATCCCATAGATTTGTACCCTGCTTAGTTTATAAAACATTGTTTTCATATTTTGAAAGGCAGAATCACAAAGTATGTAAAAATAGTTAGATTGCATGATTCTACCATTTACTTGTGCAGTTAACCTCTTGTTGCCTCAGTTTTTCATCTGTAAAATGGGAATAATAATAGAATCTACCTTATAGTTTGTTTCTGATGCTAATTTATATGTGATAATACACACATGGAAACCCTGGTGGCATAGTGGTTAAGTGCTACTGCTGCTAACCAAAAGATAGGCAGTTCAAATCCACCAGATGCTCCTTGGAAACTCTGTGTGGCAGTTTTACTCTATGCTATAGGGTCGCTATGAGCCAGAATCGACTCAACGGCAACAGCTTTTATACACACATGGAGTCCCTGGGTGGTGCAAACGGTTAATGCACTTGACTGCTAACCAAAATGTTGGAGGTTCAAGTCCACCCAGAGGCACCTTGGAAAAAAGCCTTGGCAATCTACTTCAGAAAAATCAGCCATTGAAAACACTGTGGAGCACAGTTCTACTCTGACACACATGGAGTCTTCATGAGTTGGAATTGACTTGATGGCAACTGGTAATGCACACACAAACATATAAATTTGGAACAGTCCTTGACACCTACGAAGCCACTCCATCATTGGCTTTTATTACATTGACTTACTTAGTGATCCTGTCCCCACTTGGAGATGGGAGCCATGGGAATTTTTAGGCTCAGAGAAGTTAGATGACTTGCCCATGCTCCCAGGCCTAGTAAGTGGCAGGGGAAGGGGTGATGCAAGCTGTCTGATGCCCCCGGGTGCTCGGGCCTCTGGACTCTCCTGTCCTCTCTACTCAGAACTTTCTGTAAACACTTCCTGAGGGTGACGGCTGCACCTGGCAGTGAATATTGTTTCACAGGTGATGCTTTTGTCTCTCAATTGTATTGTGAATTATCCAAGGGCAAAGGTCTCCCCCACCCTTGGCTCCTAGCACCAAGCAGAGCACAGAGAAGACTCTGGTTAAGTGGACTCTCATGGGGGCTAGAGAGATGACACTTCCACGGGGGGATCTTCATTGATGGGGACAGTGGCAGAAGGCAGACCTCTCTCTTAGGTGGCCCTGGAAGGGGAGGGGGCAACTAAGAGGCAGAGCAGACACTGAGAGCATTGACTACACTTTGCTTTAGGAAACTGCTGTTTGAGCACTAAGTGTTAGCAGCATAAAAAACGAACACAAATCAATTTGTGTCTGACTTTACTCTCAGAATTCCCTGTGGACTCTGTAGAATGCCATTTTACCTTGTTTCCACCCATCTAGCTGTGGAGGCAGTGGCAGATTTACATTATTTTACATACTGTTAAGAGCTTTCCCCCGCCTGCTCTCTTTTAGTTATGTTTTTAAGAATCACATTTATTGCCTATAAAGAGGTATTTTTCTGAAGACAATAGTGCCCTTTAGGTACTAACGGAATGTTATTTCACAAATACCTATAAAACTATTAAACAAGCTGGGATCACTGGGGCTCTGGTTAAAAGGTGCTTTCCACTCATCTTTATCTTTGAAAACCCCTGTGAAATAGCTTAACCACCATTCCGCCCCATGGAGAGGAACTGGAGAGACATACGCAAGTCTACTCATGACAGTAGGTTGCAGGGCTAGAGTTTACCCCCGGCTCCCTTTGTGTTGAGAATCTAGCTGAGGACGTTATCTTACAGCCTGATCTAAGGCATGGTTTTTGGGTGGTCAGGAGGGTTCCTGGGCTGTAGGTGGGACCAGGAGGAGAGGGGCTGGTCAGCGAGCTGGGAGAGCCAGGTGGTAGGCGGAGGGCACTATAACACAGTGGCTCACCCATCAGCTGTGCAATTAGGCAAATCTGGCTTCAAATCCTGGCTCTGCCACTTATTAACTGTGGCCTTTGGGCAAGTTACTTAACCCCTCTGTGCCTCAGTTTCCTCACTCTAAAGGAGCCCTGGTGGCACAGTGGTTAAGTGCTCTGCTGTTAACCAAAAGGTTGATGGTTTGAACCCACCAGCCACTCTGCGGGAGAAAGATGTAGAAAATGGGGATAATAATACGACCTCCTTCACCAGGACACTGGGTGGATTAAACAATGTCTTGTAATGCCTCTGGCAGAGTGACTGGCCCCAGTGACCTCAATAAATGTGACTAACAAAGGGAGAGGACTCTGGCATGAGGCTGTGCCATATTGGATCCTTCTAGATAGTCTGCCCAACAGCTGTCCCCCTCACCCAGCACTTGCCCGTTCAGTATTTCAATGTCTGTGAGCAGAGAGGCATTCTGTACCCTATTCTAGTGATGGGGGTATTGGTGGTCCAGTGGTAGTATTCTTACTTTCCATTCAAGAGACCCGGGTTCAGTTCCCAGCCAGTGCGCCTCATGGGCAGCCAGTAGAGGCTTAGTGTTGCCATGATGCCATCAGTTTGAGCTAAGACGTACTAGGAAGAGAAACCTGGTGATCTACTTCTGAAAATCAGCCACTGAAAACCCTATGGATCACAATGGTCTGATTATGGTGCATGGGGTCTCCATGCATCGGGAGCCAACTCAATTGCAGCTAAGAACAACAACAGCAGTTCTAGTGTGTGACTGCCCAGAACACAAATGTTCTCTGTGGGCAGACAAGAGAGCAGCTGCCTGTTCCAGGCCAGACTGAGATTACAGATTAACCTCAGAGTTTAGCTTCTGCTGATTTGGAGTTTGATCACTTGGTGGAGGACAGGACCACAGTTGCATAATTATAAGCAAGATTGCAGGGGTAAGATGTAAAGGCACTAAAGAGAAGATGTACTCTTGAGAGCCTTCCAGAGTTTTAGAAGCCCCATTCCATGTCAATGATCCATAAATCATATGTCCCAAGAACTCATGCACTATTCTAATCCAGACACTATTCTAAGTGCTACTTGGTTAATTCATTTGATCATCATAGGAACCCCTGAGGCAGTTACTGTTATTATTCTCACTTTGCAGGTGAGAAAGCTGAGATACAGAGAGGTTTCCCAGCTGGTTAGCGGTGGGCTGGATTGAACCCAGGAGTCTGACCCCAGAGCCTATACTCTGCCCCATTACACTCTCCAGCATTCTCCTTGCTCTGACAGAGACACTGAGTGTGAGGTCAGAGTCTTTGCTGTTCAATAAGGGCTGAGTCTCTGTTTCCAAATGAAGGCATCATCATCATCATCATCATGAGCACTTTCCAGCAGCCTGGCCCCGTGATAAGCTTTTGACATGCGTTATCTCATTTAATCTTCATAACAACCCTAGCCTCATTTAATCTTCATAACAACCCTAGCAGGCAGGTACTATTATTATACCAGAGTCCTCGGGTGATGCAAATGGTTAACATGCTCAGCTGCTAACCAAAAGGTTGGCAGTTTGAGTCCACCCAGAGGTGCCTCGGAAGAAAGGCCTGGTGATCTACTTCCGAAAAACTTGCCATTGAAAATCCTATGGAATACAGTTCTACTCTGACACACATGGGGTTGCTATGAGTCAGAACTGACTCAAGAGCCAACTGTTTATTATTATTATTACACCCATTTTAAAGTTGAGGGTATAATCCGTGTCCTCTGAGTTATTTGTGTTTTCACAGATGTTTCCTATTTGTTGATCATTTTACAGTCCCTCATTATAGCCAGGCTCAAAAACAATATTTGTGCATTTCACACCATACCCAAGTCCCTCTGACTTAAGTGCTCCATATTACCAAGGTGCCTTAGAATCCACACCTGTATGTTATGCTAATTGCAAAATACTCATAGCTGTTCCCTGAATCAGTTCCCCTGAGGATCTGCTCTAGGTCAGCCTTTGTGGTTTTGGATCTGTTTGTTTGTCCTTAGAGTACTCCTGCAATTTCTTTTAAATTCGTGTGGAAATGTTCCCTAGTTCTGTGTTTTCACATGTTCACAAAGGCCTTGCTTCCCCTATTAGTCTGATTCGGAGGTTTTGCTGCACTGGGAGAATGTTAACTGACAAAACGTTAAGTAATGGCACTGAAATGTAAAGTAATTAATGCAAGAATAATGGTACAGAGTGGAGATCTCAGTGTTTTAATGAGGGCTCAGGAAACTGTCTGCCTGTCGATGTTGAATGTGGAGGGGGAGACAAGGGTTCCCATAATTAGTGCTGCATATTAGAAAGTGACCTCTTTGCCGTGATCTATACGGGGACCTCATAACCTTTCCTGTCACCTGGAACTTCACTTCTGGGACTTTGTGGTCCTGTGAATAAAAAACATCATCACCAGTCTGTCCTTACTGTGGAATCTTCCCAATTTTTATTTTTTTGAATTTTTTTTTTTTGGAGGATGAAATTAGAATCATCATTTTTAGAGTATCTATGTGTATATATATTTTATTTCCAGATATATTTATTCAGTGCTTGCTCTGTAATGAGAGTTTTAATGTTCTGTTTTCCTTTCTATTATCCCTGAAAAGAATGGATTATGGAAAAAAAGATTAAAGTCGTGCAGTGTGATATGGTGTTTGCTAATGTGCTGTCAGAAGTATTAGTAGGAATCGCCAAGGTTTGTGTCTTTTATGAACGCTTTTCAGATTGCAGTTATCTAATCGACTTGGAAACCTGTTTGCATTCTTGCAGGCATTAAACGTCGTCTTTGAAAAAATTCCAGAAAACGAGAGTGCAGATGTCTGTCGAAATATTTCAGTCAATGTTCTTGATTGTGATACCATCGGCCAAGCCAAAGAGAAGATTTTCCAAGCGTTCTTAAGCAAAAATGGCTCCCCTTATGGACTTCAGCTCAATGAAATTGGACTTGGTAAGGTGATGCAGGGGCTATTCTGCCCCAGTGCCCTGGTCAGCATCCCTCCTGCCTTCCTTCTCTCCCTGACCCCAGGACCTTCTGTTTGGTGAAGTGTAAATTATACGGCCTGGGTTGTTGCCTGGAGGTCATGTCTAGGGGTCGAGAGACTGTGTTGCTCCCTTAAGAGCATTGTGATTCTTCCTAGGAAGCAGAATCCTTCACAGATGCCGTTTTTTAAAAATATTATGTTTGTAAACCAGATGCATGAGAATGCTGACCCTGAGCCTGAATGGATTCACCTGGCATGGAGAAGTACAGAAAGGTGTCAACCCAGTGCCTGCTGTCTGTGTTGCATTTCACACTGGCATTTGATTTGTTTGTTGTGATACAGAGTGTGTCATTAGTGGGTATCTCAGACTCTAGGTGTTAACTCCAGCATGCTGGAAAGGTCATCTTCCTCTCTGTTAATCGCATCCTGCATTAAGTATCTTCTCTGTCTTCCTCCAGCGTGAAACAGCATCTGCCATGCATTCATTTTCGGGCTCTATTGGTAGACTGCAAAGCAGAGCATATGCGTGAGCAAGCGAACAGGGCTCTGCTTCCCTTAAACGTTCGCCAACGTTTTAAAGTTGTGCTCCGCGCAGCCCTTCCGGGAGACTGCTATGGGATTTTATAGCAGATAATGCGGCAGGAAAGTAGAGTAGAATCTTGACAGTGACAAACACCATAACAAGGCTCACCTTCCCTCTATGGACAGTTGTAGGCCTTGACTAAGCGGGCTGTTAAAATCCTCCCACCCGGCCCTCCAAGTCAAACCTCCTGCTAAAAGACCATTGAGAGAAGCCTGGGGCAGGGTCTGGGAAATTTGAGTGAAACTTGGAAAATGTGAAGCGACTCACATTGGCCTGGCTTCAGAGAAAGCAGGGCAGCTAAGGCACGTCTCCTGGGCCTCTCTTCTGTTGCCTTCCATTGGAGGGAATTTGGGGCAGCTTAAAGACTGTTTTAGCTCAACTGGTTAGATCCAGGATGAAAGGGGCAGCCCCAGCCAGAAAACCATGACCTGGTCGCAGACCGTCCACTTCCTTGCTCTGAGCCCACATCTCGCCGATGTATGGTTGTGATTGCAAAGGAGGGAGATAAACTCAGCTGGACAGCCACAGGGGAAACAGCTTGACAGTCCCAGCCTCAACCAAGGACAAGTCAGTTGTAGCACCTTTGTGACATCTAAAGTTTGTACCCATCAGGTGTGCCTTGCCCTCTAATGTAGAAAGGCAGCGAGCAGAGCAAGGAGTTGGTGTCCAGTTTTAGGCTGATGGTAAATGGTGACCGAGCATGGCAGCTGTCTGGTGACCATCCAAACCACCTTAAAGGCTGATCTCAGAAAAACCAAGGCAAATCCTTAAAAATCAGCCGCAAATTGTACCAAAATCCAGTACCAGAAGCAACTATACTCGTATCTTTCATAGCAGAGGCTCAAAAACTCAGATGCCCAAAGGGCAGGAAGTATAAATAAGGGTGTCAGCCCACCTTAGGACACAAGGAAATGGTGGGTTCCACTTTGAATGGGAAAGGACAGGCCAGCTTAGAGGCAATGCCACTTAGCTTCAGCCATGTGGGTGATTGCTGCCACGTGGGGCCTGCAGGCTCAGTGTTATCAGATCTTCTGATTGTTTGATTGATTTTTGGGTGGGGTAATTTTTTCAAATTAATTTTTTAAATAGACTTTATTTTTTTAGAGCAGTTTTAAGTTTAAAGAAAAATTGTGTAGAAAATACCAAGAGTTCTTGTGTACCCCTTTCCCCCTGCACACTGTCCCCTATTATTCACATCCTTCATTCGTGGTATATTTGGTATAATCAGTGAACCAATATTGATACATTATTATACACTACAGTCCCTAGTTTGCATTAGGGTTTACTCTGTGTTGTACATTTCTATGGGTTTTGACAAATGCATAATGTCATGTGTTCTCCATTACAGTATCATAAAGAATAGTTTCACCACCCTAAAAATGCCCTATGCACCACCTGTTCACCGTAAAAAGTTTTTTTAAAGAGAAACCAGAAGTCCAAATTTTTATGTGCAATCTCCCAGTCTTTAAATGTTGGCACTGAAGTGACATTAAAATCATAATAAATAAAAACACTGTGCAGTGGCAAAAAAGGAAGAAAGCACACATCTGTAGGCCACATGCTGACCCTAGGGCATAAGTAGGCAGCCGCTGCAAGAGAGTTAGAACCCTGTGTTGTTGGCATACATACCACACCCATGTGTCACCCACACACCAACCTACAGAAGATCGTTCAGTATTGTGCCTGTGTGTGTGAAGATGTGCACACGCATGAGCGAGAGAGAAGTAGTATGCATGTTTGCTTTGGAATTTTTACAAGAGCTTAATCTCACTGAGTCGTGTTATTTTTTCTTCAATGGCTTCCCTTCCAGCCTTAGCCTCAGAGTAGAAGCTTCAGGGAAAAGTGGTCTTAAAAATTAGAGTCCTAAACATCAAATGAAACAAAAATTCAGGCTGCCAGCCTGGCTGATATAGTTCTATGTATTTCCAATAAATATTGACCACCTTATTTAAGTTTTATTTACTCATAAATAATGTTTGTGAAATGTGACAAGGAAGCATTTAAAATTACTCACTAAAATTTTAAAAGGGAACAAAATGCCGTTTGGTTTTTCAGAGCTTCAAGTGGGCACACGGCAAAAAGAGCTTTTGGATATTGACAGTTCCTCTGTGATTCTCGAAGATGGAATAACTAAGTTAAATACCATTGGTCACTATGAGGTAAGTCCAAGATTCACCTTAGAGTTTTTGTCCTTATCCCCCAATCCTAAATGGATTGGATAATTGCCCAAAACCAAACCAAATCAGTTGCCATCAAGTCAGTTCCAATTCACTGTGACCCCATGAGTGTCAGAGTAGAGCTGTGCTCCATAGGGTTTTCAAGGGTTGATTTTTTGGAAATAGACCACCAGGCCTTTCTTCCAAGGCACGTCTGGTAGACTCGAATTGCCAACCTTTCATTTAGCAATCAAGCACTTAACCATTTGCACCACCCAGGGATTCCCAGTACCATGTAAATTCTTTTTTCTTAAAAAAAACAAAAATGGACTGCACCCATTCCCTGGAATAGTTTGCAGGTTGCATATATGTGGGGCAGAAGTTTTCCTTAAACGCCTGTTCAGAAGAGCCTCTCATGGTGCACTCGTTGTGTGTCACATTCTTGGAACGCTTTGATTTCACGTCACCTGATTACCCTCCATCCTGTAGCTTAGGCCAGAAGCATCTCTTTTATGAGAGCTTCTGGCCTGGTGAACTATTTTCCCCAGCAAAACTATATAAGAGTTATTGTTTAGCTTGACTGCTGATTGCCAAGTGTGATGCTTTCACAAAAGTCCTAAACCTCACCACTTTCCACGCTGATCGCCCAGACAGTATTCACCATGTACCTCTGTCACCTTTTGTGTAGGGTACTTTTAAAAATTTATTTATTTATTGCTGTAGTCTAAATGAAGTTTACATTTCAAGTTACTCTCCCATATAAAATTTTATACATACATTGTTATGTGACTTGTGTAGGGTACTTTTTTGAAGAAGCTCTGAATTTCCTGTTTGTTTGTACTATTCAGAGGTACCTCCTTTGACTCCTTGACCCACATTCTTGGTAAAGGCCAAGGCTGATGAGGAGCACACGTGACCTCTCAGAGGCAATCTGAGTGTCAGAGAAGCTTGCACATAAGAGAGAGGAAGCAGGGAAGACTAATAAACACACTGGGATGCTGGGCCCCAGTCAGCAGCATTATTCAAACTGTTGTTGAAAATCCACCATGTACTAAGACCTGGGAATGCAGGTGAGAGGAACGAGACTAGGTCCTCGCCCTCACAGAGCCTACTGGGGGCGGGAATGGGGAGACAAGTAAAGAGGCAGTATCTTATGGTATGGTGAGTACTGTGGTTTGGAGCATCTGAGAAGACTTCCTGGAGGAAGCTGTGACTAAGCTGAGACCTGAAGAATGAGAAGAACTTCACCAGGTGGGGGTGGGGTGCCAGCTCATGCAAAGCCTTCAGCAGCAAAAAGGAATCAGCTAATGATACATGCAACAACAGGGATCAATCTCAGAATCATTATGCCGAGTGAAAGAAGTCAGACAAAAAAAGGGTACATGTTGCAAAGACTTCAGCAGGATAGGGAGAGCATGCATGTTCTTCAACAGATAGACTGTTAGACTGGCTAAAACCTGAGCGGTCAGGGTGGTGGTGAGAGCCAATAGTAGCCAACACTTATGGAGTACTTAGGAGCCCCTGTGTGGTGCAAACAGTTGATGTGCTTGACTGCTAACTGCTAAGGTTGACGGTTCCAGTCCACCTAGAGGCACCTTGAAAGAAAGGGCTGGCAATCTACTTCCAAAATATCAGCCACTGAAAACCCTATGAAGCACAGTTCTACTGTGATACACATGGGGTCGCCATGAGTTGGAGCTGACTAGATAGCTACTGGTTTGATGTTTTACCTGTGGAGCACTAACTCTGTGCCAGGTTCTGTCCTCAGCATTTCCCTCTATTTCATCTCATTTAATCCTGTAGCAGTCCTATGAGGTAAAACCATTACCCGTTGCCATTAAGTCAATTCCCACTCAGAGCAACCCTATAGGACAGAGTAGAACTGCCGCATAGGGTTTCCAAGGCTGTAATCTTTTTTATTATAGTTTTATGTGCTTTAGGTGAAAGTTTATAATTCAAGTCAGTTTCTCATACAAAAATTTGTACATACATTGCTATGTGACCCTAGTTGCTCTCCCTATACTGTGACAGCACAATCCTCCTTTCCGTCCCAGATTTCCCGCGTCCATTCAACCAGCTCCTGACCCTCTCTGCCTTCTCATCTGGCCTCTAGACAGGAGCTGCCCATTTAGTCTCTTGTATCTACTTGAGCTAAGAAGCACACTCCTCACGAGTATCACTTTATGTCCCATAGTCCAGCCTAATCTTTGTCTGAAGAGTTGGCCTTGGGAATGGTTTCAGCTCTGGGCCAGCAGAGAATCCAGGGGTCATGTCTTGCAGGGTCCCTCCATTCTCAGTCAAACCATTAAGTCTGGTCTTTTTACTAGAATTTGAATTCTGCACCCCACTTTTCTCCTGCTCTGTCAGGGACTGTCTGATGTGTTCCCTGTCAGGGTGGTCATTGGTGGTAGCCAGGCACCATCTAGTTCTTCTGGTCTCAGGGTGATGCAGTCTCTGGTTTATGTGGGCTTTTCTGTCTCTTGGGCTAATATTTTCCTTGTGTCTTTGGTGTTCTTCATTCTCCTTTGCTCGAGGTGGATTGGGACCAGTTGATGCATCTTAGATGGCCACTTGCTGGCTTTTAAGACCCCAGACACCACTCACCAAAGTGGGATGCAGAACATTTTCTTAATAAACTTTGTTATGCCAGTTGACCTAGATGTCCCCTGAAACCATGGTCCCCAGAACCCCGCCCCTGCTACTCTGTCCCTCAAAGTGGTTGTATTCAGGAAACTTCTTAGCTTTTGGTTTAGTCCAGTTGTGCTAAATTTTCCTGTAGTGTGTGTTGTCCTTCCCTTCACCTAAGATAATTCTTATTTACTATCTAGTTATTGAATACCCCTCTCCCTCCCTCCCCACCCTTGTAACCATCAAAGAATGTTTTCTTCTGTGTTTAAAACTTTTTTGAGTTCTTATAATAGTGGTCTTATACAATATTTGTCCTTTTGCAACTGACTACATTCACTCAGTGTAATTAAAGGCTATAATATTTATGGAAGCATACTGCCACATCTTTCTCTGCGGAGCTACTGGTGGGTTCGAACTGCTGGCCTTTTTGGTTGGCAGCCAAGTGCTTAACCCCTGGGCCACCAGGGCTCCGTATACTAGGAGGTAGGTACTGTTATTTCAAAAACAAACTCGTTGCTGTTGAGTCAATTCTGACTCATAGCAACTCTGTAGTACAGAGTAGAACTGCCCCATAGGGTTTCCAAGGCTGCAGATCTTTATGGAAGCAGACTACCACATCTTTCTCCTACAAGGTACTATTATTAACCTCTATAAATAAGTCGGTAAATTGAGACTTGGGGAGGTTTAGTAACAGCCAGTCAATGGCAGAGCCACGATTTAGACTCAGATAGTTTGGTTCCAGAACCTATGACTTATACGCACACACACAGGAGGGAGGCCAGAGAAGTGGGGGAAGAGAGGCAGGTGAGGAGGGGAGGTACCGGTCATGCAGGGCTTCAGTAGCTTCTTAAGGAGGTTAACTTTTATCCCAAGAATCATGGGAAGCCATTGGAGGGTTGTAAGCAGGGGAGATTTGTGTTTCAGAAAATGATTGTGGCTGAGCATGGATTTAAGGGGTCAAGTCTGGAAATAGGGAGACCCATGAGAAGCTGTCAGAATTTCACATGAGGGATGAAACTCTCCAGAAATAACACGGTGGCGCAGCCATTAAGATGCATCAACTGGCCCCAACACAGCTAGAGTAAAGAAGAATGAAGAACACCAAAGTCACAAGGAAGGTGTTAGCCCAAGAGACAGAAAGGGCCACATAAACCAGAGACTTCATCAGCCTGAGACCAGAAGCACTAGATGGTGCCCAGTTACCACCAATGACCACCTTGACAGGCAACACAACAGAAAGTCCCTGATGGAGCAGGAGAAAAGTGGGGCACAGAACTCAAATTCTAGTAAAAGGACCAGACTTAATGGTTTGATTAAGACCGGAGGACCCCAGAAGTCACGGCCCCCCGACTCTCTGTTGGCCCAGAGCTGAAACCATTCCCAAGGCCAACTCTTCAGACAAAGATTAGACTGGACTATGGGACATAAAATGATACTCGTGAAGAGTGTGCTTCTTAGCTCAAGTAGATACTTGAGACTAAATGGGCAGCTCCTGTCCAGAGGCCAGATGAGAAGGCAGAGAAGGTCAGGAGCTGGTTGAATGGACGTGGGAAATCTGGGGTGGAAAGGAGGAGTGTGCTGTCACAGTATAGGGACAGCAACTAGGGTTACATAACAATGTATGTATAAATTTTTGTATGAGGGACTAACTTGAATTATAAACTTTCAGTTAAAGTACAACAATTAAAAAAAAACAAAACGCGGTGGCTTTGGAGGTAGAGACAAGTGGATGGATTCAAGTGACGCTCAAGAGGTGAATGCCTCAAGCAGTGCGGATCAGGGAGATATTGGGGCAGGAGGGGTCAAGGAATGCACTGCAGGGGGCAGGGGAGATACATCTGGAAATGGAGAAGACGGGAGGAGGAGCAGCTTCCTGAGATACTCAGAGAGTAGGCGCTTTTATGGCTACAAAAACCCAAGGAGAAATGTCTGTACCAGGAAGGCCTATTGACCCGGCCAGATTGCCCTCACCCAGCAAGAAGCTGAGACTGTTCCTAGAGCAGAGCTTTCTGAACAGCAGCCAGGAGCAGAGGACACCTCTGCTCGTGGGCGCTGGCTGAGTAGGTCTCAGACCCATTTTGGAAATGGTTGCTTTGGGTGATGCCTGAGTGGGCTCTGCCCCGCAGCCTTGGACGGAGGGGAACCTAGCCTGGGAGCCCTGGGTACCATCTGCTCCTGATGCCTACCCGCCTATACTGGGACTTTCCAACCTCAGAATCATCTTGCTAGGAGCAGCAGTTCTTAGCTATTGGAGTTTGTAAAAAACCCCTAGGGAACTTTCTAAAAGTACATATTCCTGGGCTCAGGGATACAGGTGGAGAAACACTGCTGCAGAGAATTTGATTGACCAGAAGGAGGTTAGAGATGGAGGCGCT